GAGTACTCTTTTCCTCATTTTATCCATTGCCATCACCTGTAGTCCTTTATTTGTAGCTGAAATACAACATAATGTATGAGCTCGAGTGTCTGGAAGGCGGTTTTATTCTTAGCACTTCATTATTTTCTACTCTTTATTTCATTGTCCATTTTTCCTTATTCTTTTTTTTTATTTGTCCATTTATCCTTTTTTTGTATATTTTGGGATCTATTCTTTATAAGTTTTGCCCTTTATATTCTATTCTGAAAACCCTGATCCACACCCTCATTTATGTAACAATAATTATATTCTGAACGACATATTACAAATGGTATAGTCACTAACAATTGTATTACATAATCTAATGGATCACTATGATAAATTACACTAAAGACATTGCGCAAGTAATATTTATAATATTTGATTATTTCATTTTATTTTGTGTCATTAAGAATTCATTTGTTACTCATTTGAATTACTGTAACAAATCGTTGATTACTCGGCAAGTTTACTTCATCAGACCACATTTTTATGCAGTCTGGTTTGGGTTTACAGAATAGACAATAATTAGCAAAATGTGCAGAATAAATGACAAAAGCAAAATAAAGATTAGAGAAAAAAGGGCAAAAAATACGAAGAGTGAAAAATGGGATGGTCAAATATAAAAAAATAGAAAATAATGGGGAAAAAAATATAGAATACAGAAAAATTACCTAAAAGATAAAAAAAAAACAGAAATGAAAGACCTTCCAAACAGGACCCTCAGTTATGGACAAGCAACTTGCCTGTGACTCGACATATAGTTATTCCGATGTTATGTACTATTTTCTGAAATTCATGAGTTTCTTTAACCTTTGAAATGTTACTAAAAATAGTTGTCTAGTTATTTATGAGTTTGCTCCATGGTTAATATCCTAGCGGACTGGTAAAATCGTAGTTCTAACCCCTTCGAATAAGGGTATTGATATTCAGAAAAAGTACATCGTGTTAAGTTAATTTGTTTACATTTTACATTTCAACTTTCATGATATAATGACTTCTTCTATTCAATCCCAATCTCTGACTGATCACATATAGTAACTAAATATTTCTTTCAATTAAACGACACAAATTATTAACAACATCGAGTACAGTCATGACAAATCTAGATGGTGAATAACGGAATTTCGGGTCCTTATGGTTTGATTCGGCCGCCTCTAACGAATCATCTTTCGACAAGCGTCCGTCTGTAGCACTAAATTATGGTCCTTAAATCTTTGATGACCCCCTTCACCCTTTATTGACTCTACGCGTTTTGATAAAAATACATTACGAAATTCAAATTTAATACATAGACAAACGGTGTTCCTCACCAACAGTATCCAACTTACAGCTGTAGTTACAGTAACTAGCTTCCTGTGGTAGCGAGCACACTTACCCTGCTTTTTAAATATTGTGTAAATATTTCAGTTTTAGTGCTAGTGGTACAGCAACCTACTGGCAGATGCACTGCGCTTTAAACTGTTTTATTGTGTGCTTTGATTTGCGACCTAATGTCGAAATAGCCATGTAAATCATGGTTTAACCGCACATTTGTTTGGGCCGGTACCAGGTCAATATGTTGTTCGTTGTACATACGTTTGGTTTTTTTTTCAGCGTATTCGGGTGATGGTGTTTGATGCTGTCTGTTGTACTCTCCAGAATTTTTGAAGATGTGCTTGAACTTTTTTTTGTCAATCATAATGACTTCGTTTTTGACTTCGAACTGCTTTAATTCGAACGCAAGGAACAGTTTTTCATTTTTATCTTGCGTTATATTGTACAATCCTGGTAAATGAATACCTCTGTGGGTTTTAGTTAATATGATGAAATCGAAATGTTTTGTCCAGGTTCAGGAAGAAAAATAACAAACTAAAAATTAACACAAATACTAAAACTGGGGAAGAATGATCAATTAATTAGTATACCGATTTTGGTCAGTGTTTCATTTGGGCTCTTTAAAAAAAAAAACTCTTTTTTTCAATTTAACAAAAACTATGATTAATTTTGAAAACGTGCAGATTTTGTAGAATATAAAATACGTACCATAATTTGGACCAGTGAATCCATACATGTCCCAACATCCATCGGCGTTTTTAGAATTAGGTACTGCTTGTGGATACAATATAATGATATTATTCAACTCTCCAATTTCGTTATAACCTGTATGTTTCACATATACATCGTCGATATAATGTCTGAATGAATGAAACAATTGTTTAGTTTGTGAGGGTGAGGTTTACAGAATAGAGAATGAAGAGCAAAAGTATAAAGAATAGAGAAAAATGGACCAAATTAAAAAAAAGAATAGAGAATAATGAGGTGCTAAAAAATAGAGAAGAGGGAATAATGGCAAAAAAGTATAAAAAAGTATAAAGAAAAGAAAATAGCCTTTAAAACACAGAATGCAGAAATTAAGGACCCCGTATTCTGACCCTCGTTTATAATTTGTTGAGGTATAAATGATAGAATTTTGATTTATCTGCAGAGAGAAAAACCATCTGATTTTCAAGGATGATTGGACGAAGATTGAATATCCAGCAGCAAATAGTACACACCGAGGCAATACGAGTCAATGTTATTTTGGTGTCATAAGATTATACACTGTATGAGACAAGAATCGAAAGACACGCTGTGATTGGTTTTCTCTTAAATGATGCGTTTATAACGAAACACCACGTAATAACTATGGCTTGAATCCGGCTTTATTATAACATAATTGGTCTTGTGGTAGTTTGGACAACTTTGGCTCCGTTTTTTCTTATATTTTGAGACATCCTTTTGCATTGCACTTAGGACATTTTTATTGTACGTTTCATTATCCTTAACAAGTAATAGGACTGATACATACCTGCCCATTTTGCATCCATGTAGTGCAATGTGAAGCTTACATTCTACAAAAAACAATGTTGAACTATTTGTTTTCTTGTACCAAAACAATATTTAATAAAAAAATAATTGTCTATAACATACCTCAAGGACGACTGGGATATATAAATAAGGGCACCTTGATCGCTTTCCGACCGGCATTAAAACCCTTGACAAAGATGACGTCTGGTTGGCAGTGATACATGTATAAACTCGAAGTCAGATTTGGGACGTTAAATTGCAACAACTCTTCGAGGGTTCCGTAGGTGGCCTGTATGTGATATATTTTGTCTCTATCCAATATACCAGACTGAGTGGCATTTCATATTCTAATTACATTAACTTTTCAATCTCCTGTTGCAGATCTATCACTGTTTAACATTGTATTTCTTATTAAACACTTTGTGAAAAATTCCCACCCGCATACCTCCCTTAATTGTATCTTTAGAAGTAGACATATATATAATATGTTTACTAGTGGGGCAGATTTTTCTCCCCATCTTTGCTATTCTTTGTCATTTATTCAATTGATATAATTTTAGTTGATGTATAATTACCTATAAATTATGTATTATAATTTCATATTGAATATGAACTTTTATGTCAAATGTTTTATTTGCAAAATGCTTTTTTTCCATTTTATGAATTTGAATAAATGACCTTTTTTCATCAATTTAGTTTTTATATCATATAGCAAAACAAGCTCAGATCTGACCTGTGTATATAGTATGTTTGTTTGGTATGTTTATGGTATCTAGCTGTCTCTTAAATGTTGTAGATGCATTAAAATACGGACATTAAGTGCATCACCCTTCGCGTATTAACACACCTATCTATTTAACACATTCTTATGAAAACATTCAAAAGTTTAGCAATGAAAACTGCTTGGTTCGATTATTCAAATGAATGTAACATTATTCAATCATACTAATGTTTATGGTCTATTCGGAACATTTAGTTTGTTTTTCATGGTGGTCGAAATCTCGTTTACCTCCTTACTACCTTATCCATTTTACTTTATTTTTATTTGTTCCACGGGAATTGTGCATCACATTAATCTATCCTCGTTTAATTCAATGATATGATATTCACGCAAGTATATCTTACTTCCTACCGTGCCGACAAAGTTTTATAAAAAAAATTTACCCGGAAACTTAAACACTAAAATTAATGAAAAACAAAAAAAAGGAGATGTGGTATGATTGCCAATGAGACAGCAATACACCAGGTCTTGTGGTCATAAAACTTTCGAGCACGATTTTCGTACTCAGACTCTGAAATCAAACAATCAAATTCTGGATTTTGTGTTTCGAGCACAAATTTTGTACTACGAGTAATGAGTAAAGTTTTATGACCGACAACCCAGAGCTCAACAGAAGCGGATTCAAACAATTTTAGGCAAAAATACGGCCTTCAACAATAAGCATGATGAGGGCTATAAAAGTTCCCCACATGAAACACATTAAATCAAATAATAATACCAACGTCATAATTTATAATCAAATGAAAGCTTACTATTATGAGAACATCCTATACGTAATATATACGTATCCTGTATTATCCATACTGTAAGCCGATGTGGAGTTTTCTGTAAACTCTGACTGATCAAAGGTCAAAAGCTATGAATAAAAAAATGTAAAACAGGTCAAGCTTCGGATGACGCTCACATCAGTAGTTTTGAAAAAAATAATTTGATTGATAACGTCGAAAAACTAAATAAATTTTCTGACTCAGAAAAAACCCATACCCCCCCCCCCCCCCCCCCTGAAGTTAAATGGTTGCTCCCTAATACCTTTCTTTTTTATCATTTTTGTATGTTTTATTGCTTAACACACAAATATTGAGCACTATTTTATAACAATGCAGCTGTGCCTTCAATGTTTATAATTAATATGATAAATCCCTAAGCAAGTCAATGAAATATTTTCCTTGAACTTACATCACTAAATCAAATAAAAACTTGTTTTTAATATTTTTCAAGTTAAACTGTCCATGTACATGTATAAGATATCTATATAACTCATTTTATATTTAAAAAATGTGACCATCTAGGTGGTCTAACGCAAAAACTCCTGCTCAACAAGTCGATGTAACAAAAAGTTTTTTGTATTATATCAGATTATCACGTTTTCATTCTAAATATGTATTTTTAAATATGCACTGGACCCAAAACAACTAATCGGTTGTAACTTAAATAGAAACAATTATATTATAATGTAAAATTTTGAAGTGCATTTTCTAGTGATTACGTTCTATAGAGTTCCAAATACTTCGGTAAATTACTTTTCACATTACAAGTATAATGTATATGTATGTGTAGTTTTAGAGCTACTGTGGGATTTACAAAGTATCATTTATCAAAGTGAATGTGTTCTCCTTGTGTTATTCAAAATCAACAGATACATGTAACTCCACATGAATGCACATATGGTTATATATGATAAATAAGACAACAAAAGCTAGCACTTTACGAAGATATTTGTCCGACATATTTCAAATTGTTTGCGTTCCCCAAGCTGTATACGGGTTGTCTGACCATTGTGTACATGTAGAATATGGAAAAACTAAACCGCTTATAAGTAGCAATGGTTGACCTTACCTGTCCGGACAAAATCGTCTTGGCTGTTGGTTTCTGTAATTATTGTACAATAATCAATTACGAAATGGAATGTTAACAGATTTAACTGTAAAAAACACAATTTGAATTTGATACTTTAGTCCAGAACTGTTGTGTCCTACAAGTTTTACATGGGATAATGGTAAATATTAAATACATATCTTCTGCCGTTTTTAGATTGAAAAGTTTCTCTGTTTATTTCAATTGTGCATATGAAGTTGAATGTGTTACATTTCGGTTTAGTTGCCTTTTATACAAATATGGACAACGAAAGAAAACTCTACAGTTGCATGAAGGTATACAAGTATACAAATAAAATTTATACTCATGAGATGAGTTCTAGTCAAAGTATATTACGTTAGAAAAATATTTAACATGTTAGGACGATACACAACCAAGACTGAATCCCTTGTAAGGAAAGTGTATTTCGTGTCTAAACAGTTTTAGAGCTACTGCGGGATATACGAAGTAACTAACTAGTATTCGAAAGAAATGCATTCTTCAATGATAAGGGTCTTGACATTTGAATATAAAAGAGAGGCGAAATATACCAAATGGACATTTTAACTCATGAGTCGAAAAAAACTGAAATGCTATGGCAAAAAACGGAAACGACCAAAATTAAATACAAACAACATTATACAAAACATAATATAAAAACGAAAGACTGAGCAACACAAACTCCGGTGAAACCGGCGGTGATCCCAGGTGCTCCGGGAGGGTATGCAAATCCTGCTCCAAATTTGGCACCTGTCGTGTTGATTATATATATAACTTACAGACGAACAATAATGTATTAAATGATGTGGACTTACCGTTAGATTTCCATAGATCCAATTTAACAAATCATAAGCGGCATTGTAACCACAATTATTGATGAAATTACTGGACAGTTTATTACAAGGTCCACCATAGTTGTCTGTTGGCTAAGTGTAGAAATAAAAAAAAATCATAACTAATATTGTAAAATAATTGTACAAATAAGTTTAATTCTTTATGAAAAGGAAAACAATAAGGCTGCGATTGTTTTATAAAATGGCAAACGTCGTCATTAAAGGGCAACTAATCAAATAAGAAATCGACTGACGATTTTCGACAATTGTCTTATTTATAAATCTGGTGTTCCTAATTATTTTTGTCCTGAAAAGCTTTTTTTTTACTTTTCATAGTTTGTTATATCATAGACAAACATGAAAAAATATGTAAAAGGTGGTTTTTTTTATTGCTAAGGCAATAACTACTACAGTTGCCTGCTAGTTTTTATGTAAATGGACTGTAGATAAATTTTAACGTTCTGATCAAGTTTGCCCTTGTCAGATTTGTAGATATAGCGGTTTTCACAATAATAGACAAAAATTGCATTTTACCCCATATATTATATTTTAAGCCAGATTAGCCTTGTCAGTTGGTAAGCATGGTCATCGGATACATTTTTTAAAAACTAGATGCAGCAATAATGATTATGGCCAAGTGTGATTAAATGTGACTCGATAGTTTCAGCGGAGCCAATTTTTGTAAATGTTAACTGTCAAAGGCGACGATGGACGACAGACGACGGACGTCAAGTGATGAGAATAGCTCACTTTTGCCCTTTGGGACAGGTTAGCTATTAAAACGATAATGAATTCCGAGTCGACGTTATGGTATTTTAAACACTATCCTTTCTAGATGCCCTACTTCCGTCAGAGCATCCCTTCAATCAGAGTATCCTTCCAATAAGACCCCATCTCCCTCACCAAAAGAATTCAATAGAGTAGTGAAAAATTTGCTAAGATCAGATCGTAGTTGGATCTAAAATGTTACGAAACTTTTAAGTATATCTGATTTGGTCTTACAGCGAATTTTGCCAAAAGGTACTGTATAATTTTATGTACTTTTTTTTGCGGTGTATTTGTCAATGGGGTAACTGTAGTTTTGTTTTTCATACATGCTAAAAACATACGTTACCATGCAGTGTTGTGCATCCAAGTTAAATACTGATTTAACATTGGAACTGGATACAAAGTGGTTGTAATATGACGCAATGTTGTGTCCATTCTCTGTAATATTATTGCTTACGTTGTATTTAAATTCATGTATTTTTTTTTTATTAATAAAATTCTATAGTATATTCTATGTTTATTTCAATTGTGCTTATGAATTTGAATGAGTCACATTTCTGTAAATTGTATTTTATACAATTATTGACAACAAACGACAACTTAACAGTTCAATGAAGGTAAAACTATACAAGTATACAAATACAATTTATACTCATGAGAGTCCCGGTCAAAGTTAACAAAACTTACTAAATGTTCTCTAGCTCTCTGTTATCAACAAGTTTTCTATCCTCTCGTAGAAAATTGCAAAGTTTAAAAAGGACTTCCTACTTTTTATAATGTTGTGTGTATATTTAAAAAATATAGTTGTAGAAAAGGACACAGAGGACTCGTTCTGGATATGCATTTAATTTGCCACTGGACGTTTAACAGATATCCGTTCATACATCCAAAGAGGACTATAAATTTGTATACATGTATATTATATAAAATTGAGAATGGAAATGGGGAATGTGTCAAAGAGACAACAACCCGACCATAGAACAGACAACAGCAGAAGGTCACCAACAGGTCTTCAATGCAGCGAGAAATTCCCGCACCCGGAGGCGTCCTTCAGCTGGCCCCTAAACAAATATATATACTAGTTCAGTGATAATGAACGCCATACTAAACTTCAAATTGTACACAAGAAACTAAAATTAAAAATAATACAAGACTGACAAAGGCTAGATGCTCCTGACTTGGGACAGGCGCAAAAATGCGGCGGGGTTAAACATGTTTATGAGATCTCAACCCTCCCCCTATATATATAGCATTATTTATCATGAAGAAAAATCAAGATATCTCAAGCTGTCTCTTATCGAATTTGTATAAGTTTTGAAGTAGACTGAACTTGTAAATGTGTGTTGGTTTTTTTTTGTGTATACTGAATATCCCATATATTGTAATAGATGTTTTCCATTATCAGTAATGAAAGAAATTTCATACAAAAGAATTAACTTCAGTCTGTATCTTAGTTTTTTCAAATCAGGAAAATATGTACCAACAAATTTAAAATATTAGATGGCCCATGCACTTTGTTTTGTTTTATGATAAATTCTATAAATTTTCAATCATGCATTTATAGCCGACCATACGGTATTGGTTTTTTTCTCATTGTTGAAGGCCTTATGGTTGCCTATAATTGCTTATATCCACTTCATTGGAACTTTGGTGGATAGTTGTCTTATTGGCGATCATACCACATATCCTTATTTTTATATTCTCATTGGAAATGTACCATGTTACAGCTATATAGAGAGCTACATACAGGTATACACTAATTGGCTTTACAGATCTAAGTATTTTAATGTAAAACGCTGACTCGAGTTTGATATTGGCAATCATACCACCTCTCCTTAATTGTATATTCTCATTGGAAAGATCTCATGTTACAGCTACATACATATACATACATTTCGTATGTTTATGTAGTTCATACGTGTTTCTCGTTTTTCGTTTTTATATAGATAAGACCGTTGGTTTTTCCGTTTGAATGGTTTTACACTAGTAATTTTGTGGGGCCCTTTATAGCTTGCTGTTCGGTGTGAGCCAATGCTCCGTGTTGAAGACCGTACCTTGACCTATAATGATTTACTTTTATAAATTGTAACTTGTATGGAGAGTTGTCTCATTGGCACTCATACCACATCTTCCTATATCTATGTATACACTAATTGGTATAACGGTTTCAAGTAAGCAAATGTAAAACGCTTACTTGAGTATAAAGGACCAACCATTTAACTTCAAAAAGGGGAGGGGGTATTGTTTTTTTTGTCTGAGTCAGAAAATATTTTTACATTTTATCGGCGCTATCAATCAAATTACTTTTTTCAAAATTTAACGCTATAAGGTGTGGGGAAAATCTGGATTCAGAATATTTTTTTCTCATCAAATTGGCGATCAGAATGGTTTTTTTTTAGGAAAACGCCATACCCCACCTCCTTTGAAGTTTGATACTCGTTCCCTAATACTGTATGTACTGGCATATCATGTGACATGTTCAAACTTACGTGGGTTAATTTGGGTGTCTGCTCTTCCAGCAAAAACATATACTCTATCATTTTTCATGTTGGAAACTGCATCAACATTGCCTTTACTGGCTTCAGAGACTGTGAGGTGCTCCATTGAGGAGACAGATTCAAACATTGGTAATTTCATGCACGCTAATGCAGCAATAGATGATCCATGAGCACAACCATAGGGAACTGTGAACACATTAAAATGACGTGTCAAAGCCTATACATGATTGCTTCCTTCCCTTGCAACCAACATGATAACCAAGGTACGAAATGTACGTAATTCACTATGGAGAATATATACACGTACGTGGTATTTCTTTAGTATTATATAAAACACTTGGTATGCCATATTTTACGCTTTACATGCTACATGCTTTACAAGCATTTTGATTTTTATTAATAGTTAATGAACATATAGAGAGTAAAGAACTACTGGTTAAAGTAGTCGTCTAAAATGTATGACTGCCAAATACAAAATCTACTCCATTGAGATTAATACAAAAAAATGTTGCGTGGTTTGAATATAATTTGAAGTAATCAAAGAAAATGCCTCACAGAAAAATTTTTCTACGAAATATAGTGTACAATTCCTGTAAGGAAATGTGGTTTTCCATTTTCGAAATAACGTCAATTTAGTCAGCAATTGAAAAAAAAACCAGCTAGCATTAGTGCAGATTGCTAATTTCTAACTTTAATATATATATATATATTTGAAAAGATTAAATAACATTTCAAAGAAAAGATCATAAATACCTCTTTGGAGGAGCCCTTCGAATTTTTATTTAAAGCTCTAAAATGCAATTTTTCATTTTATATATGGTGTATTTAACACAATCGTTCCATATTTGATTTTTTTTTTCTTTCTTTTTTTTCTTTTGCATTTTCTCAAGTCCAAGTTAACCTGTTTTTACACTTTAATTACAAGGTATAAAGAGCCTAGAATTTGATTGAACCCTTAAGCATGTTAATATGGGGAAGCGTATACTTATACCCGAATTATAGCAAATATACAGATAGGATCGGTCTCTGGAAAGCTATTATAGTATGCGCACAACTGAACAAAAAATAATATAATTAAAGTCACCAAATGATTTAGAATCTTTAGGACTATAGGAAATTGTGCGAGAACATTCATGGAAGGTAGTAAAGTAGATATTCCCCTCTCTAATTTTATTCATAAGCGAATCTTTTATGTACATCTTTGCAGATATTGTTAATTGCAGATATTAAAAACAATATGTTAATTGAAAACAAAATGTTATACAGTGTTTAAGTGTGTACCTCCAGCAACGACCCCTACACCCATGTAGGCAGCAGAATGTATCACGTGCATCTGTGTAGCGAATCCAGCACCAGAAGATATACCGGAAATAGAAACTTTGTTGACGTCAACATTGTACGAACCTACGTATAAAAAATGTGTATACAAGTGTCGTGTACAATATAATCAACATTCTGTAGCAATTTTATGCAATCCTAAATAACCGTAAAATATCAAATATTTAAACAATAAAAAGGCTAATGCGTCCTTTTCTACCTCATATATTGATAACTAACATTATTTTACCATATCTACATGTTTAACAAAAACATGATACATTGATATTGATATGCGGTGAAATCGTGGTATGGTCGACTTAAATATTCAATATGTCATAGTTTTCATGTTCATACCTAGACCTTGCTATTATCCTGATAAGATCCTGCTACGATTCCGCTACGATAGTAACAGGTACAGTTACGATTTTAACACGCTCTTGTTACGTCTAATTAATAAGACATAAATTGTCATCCTGCTTTTTTTTACTCAAAACTTATGTCCTGCCTTTTTTTTCAAATTTCATCATAGCCACTCTCCCTCATAAAAATCAAATGGTAGCTCCCTTAGTCCAGGAATAAAATTATCAATATCCACTGTATTTGTTTCACTCACAAGGCCATAATCTCAAAAGTTCCAAACATCCTTCTGGAATTTGAAATCATACATTTAAAAGTTTATATCATGTACTTGAAACTTTAAAAAGAATCTACATATTCATATAAATCAAAAATGTGATTCTAAGCTTCATATGTTGCTGTTGAAGGTATTTTTATACACGAAGGAAAAATGTACATGCTTTTGTAAAATTTTGTAAAGAAATAGGTCTCTAACCAGAAAGAATAACTTTGCATACGAACGACAATGAACATAGTTGTAGTTCCAGCATAATTTTATTTTGTCGAAGTATGCTCTCGTACATTGTTTTCGATAAGACTAAAATTTTACAAAAAATCTGTCAAAATTGTGATTTTGCGCTATCTTTCAGCGTTTACAAATAATTATAATATAATTAGAAACTTAAAGTGCATACACTAGAGGTGCCACTGGCCCAACCATATTTATGTCTTTGTTTTAGAAAACATAATATTCACCTAAAAATAAATTAGAAAAAGCAAGAGCAAGTACTTACAATTTCGAGGAATTCTAAAATGTTTGACCGAAAACGCAAATATGACTATGAAATGAAAATTAGATTATTTCTTAAAACATAATTTAAGTCTCTAAAAATGATACATACCTAGCCGAGAAGATTTGCACTCTTTAATTAGCAGTACAAGTAGAACTGAAAAGTATAATCTTGTGCGAAGCATCGTCTTCTTGGCACTATTTCTGCTCATGTAAGTAGAATGTTTATGAACTATGTGTTCATTGTTTATATAAGTTATTTGGCGGTCGAACCTTATCATGACATTATATTAATCTCTACGGAGATTCACGTTTATCAGCACGTTACCTTGTGAGGCTTGTTACATATCTATATACCGTACGATTTTAAAATTCAAACTTAAGTAAAGTAAAAAGAATTTAAAGGGGCATTAGCTGTCAAATTCATGTTCACCGATTTGATTCAAATTTTCATATTTGATTCATATAATACTAAAACGTATATCCAAATTACAACAAGTCTGAAAAAAAAATTCATGGACTCGATAATATATATGTCACCATTTCGTGTGTATTTTTGTCTAGACGCCATCTAATTAACCACTGAGATGACTTGCGAAGACTTCGACGGTCACATAACCTGATATAAACATAAACATAAACATAATTATAAATAGATATAGACCTCATGCAATTAGACTTTTCTAGGTCTGTTTTATTTCATGTTATAAGTTAATCATCGTTTTACCTGTATAATAATGATTTTTTTTATCGAATAAGTCAACGAAATGGTTCACCTTTGTATCACTTTCATTGTTGACATTCATTTCTTTTTACTAGCTGAACAGGACTAATGCATGCGTAACCAATCACTAGCTATTAGTTAAATTAAAGGTCACATAAATACAGATTCAATGAGGTCGAATTATTTACTTGAAGTCTCTGCTAAAAGCAAATTTTTATTTTACTATTCAACTTTCATTAATGATTGAACATGATTTTTTTTTATATCTCGTAACTAATGCCCCTTTAATCCAATATTTAAGACAGTATGATTTTGTCTATGCTGTATACCAAGCTCTTATTCGTGTCCAAATCTTCGAGTTTTCAGTTTTTAAAGTTATTAGAATGAAACATAAATTTTGTATTAAAATTTGAATAAGTCTGATCAGCAAACACAATAATACAATGTTTACTAGGAACATTCAACTAAAGTAATAAATTGATCGAATTATTGAACTTTTTGCAAAACCGACTAAGGATGCATTTTTCGTTTGTTTTGTTTGGTTGCTGATTCATTGACGAATCTCTCACGAGGGTCTGGATGGGGAATGTGTGCTTATTTCAGTATTTATAGTGTTTTGTGCCTTTTTCTACATTCTTTTGTTTTATTGTCCATTATTATCTATTCTTTATGTTTCAGCACCATGTTAATCTCTATTCTTTTCGGCAACGAGGTGAATGTCAGTTTTTCTTATCTTATCTAAAACACATATTTATCGAAACAAAAGACAGCAATTGTTTTATGCCATACTCCGAGAGAAAAAAATGTCCTTAGTATGACAATTTTTCGCCGAAATAAATTGCATACCAAACATATTTCTATAATTATACATGTAAAACCATAAAATCATGTAACGTTTAGTGCGAAAATATCACTTTGTGGTAGTGTTACATGTATAAGAATTGACGGAAAATGCGAGTTATGGCGCTTTGCATACACAGTTAATAATATATGTGTTAAAATTTGGCTTGTTTTTAAAGTGTGATGAAAAGGTTTGCATTATCAAATTCATCTCACATAACGTCCTTTTATTGTAGTGATGAATTAACAATACTTCACATTATTTGTTTCGAAAGTTTAAAAAAATGTGTGTCATCGACGATTGTTGGTATTTCAGTCTATTAAATGGAGGACAGGATACTTTCTGCTTTAAACCTTTCGTAGATGGAAAATAAAAAGTAAATTCCATATTGCCACCAACACAAGATAACTATCAAATAAATTGAATGTTTAAGTAAATTATAGTTTGCATTTTATTCAGGGAAAAAAAGACCTTACACATGTTATTATTTTATGCCTTGAAGCAAATTCATTGAAACTTGGTATCGGCCGGGTTGGTTCTCCAAAAGAAAGGGGGACGTGATTTTTCTGTATGACGATATATACAGACGTGCTACATGTACTAAAAAAGGTCACATTTAAAATTTCAAATACTATTATGCTGTCCAATAATTTTGGTAATTCCTGAACACTTTTGTGTATTATCAATGAATCTATTTGAATTCTAAAAAACTCTAAAGAACTTCTGGATAATTTTAGATCTCGATCTTTCTCTGAGATTATTCTATCAAAACTTTTCATTTTTCTACCCTGTATACCACCATTCCAAATGTGAAATTGAAAAATCGTCTAGAAAATAATCCACAATGCTTTTCAATATAAAAATGGTAGCATACGCTATAAATTTATTACTTTCGGACACCGAAGCCGGATCATTTTATTTAACTTTCAGATATACATGTAATGATTAAAAAGTGCCTTTAAGATGATCACGTGTGAATGTATAAAATGTAAATAAACATTTGCCACGTGGTGATTGTGCAACAAGTCTTTACCACCAAAACATAAGATGAAATTTAGTTACAATTTTAAATTTCTTAATCAATTTTTGGAAGTTCCTGGGTAAGTTTCTTGCGCAAATGTTGGAATGTCAACGTATGTTTTCGGTTCCTGCTTCATGAAATTTGTAAACACCAGACACAACCATGTTTACACCTCCACACTAAAATGTGTTCAAGTGCTGCCATTGGTCAAGGATGATGTATTCGGAATGGGTGTGACTTTCTACCGGTAGATGGCGCAGCAATGCAATCACACATGTTGGCTTAATCTGCCAAGGGTTTAGAGGAGGGGTTGGCATTCGAAGATGCAATTTCCCCCACCTAAGAAGCAATATACCAACTTCACCTGTATATGGGATGTATGATATATTTGATTGCTATTTAACTTTGAAATGCCAAGGTTATTTTAAATTCCACAAAATGACAAGCATGAGCAACAATGTCAATATTAATTTGATGTCAGATCCATTCCGAAAAATGTAAGCATTTACAATTATAATAAAATTGTCTTGAAATTATAAATTAATGACATAACATACCAACACTGACTACAAATAAAATGTTTATTCAAGTGAAGTTTTATTTTGGGGTTTGCCAAGGAATAACTTGATAACGAAATAAAAATAAGAGTCATATATCCGATTGAATACATTATTTGCCCATTTTTTTATTCTATAACGTTTGATTCAAATGGGTCCATGATCTGGTAAAAAAAACAGTAGCATATCAGAACTCACCACTACAATGCTAAGACCCACAGACACAGAATTATAACTGAATCAGCTGATTAAAGGCGCCACATAATTTTAGCGTACGATTGTGGGTATAGAAAGCGGATCCCAAAAATATTTATTTTTTACTTTTTTCCGTTCTTTATGTTTTAAAAATGACTGTTTTGTGTAAAGCATACTTAGATAGTGTAGAGGGTATTTTTTTAATTGCTTGCCTTTGAACCGATAAGAAACAAAAATAAAACATCTTAAATTTTTCTTTTAACTTTTTGTATTCAAGAAAACGTCAAAATCAACATTTTCGCTTTAATTTATTTACTTATGTTTACAAATCAACAACACAGAAATTACAATTACAGGACAACCTTATTCGCCGTAAAAATACTAAAAATTTGTAGTTTCAGAATATAGCTTAACTATCACAGATTCCATAAACAGATATAAAAATAAGAAAATGTGGTATGATTGCCAAAAGAACAAATATCCATCAATTTGAAAGATCAAACAAAGTGGATGTAAGCAACTATAGGCAACCGTATGGCCTTCAACAATGTGAATAACCCATACCGTATAGTTTGCTATAAAAGGCCCCGACATGAAAAATATGAAACAATTCAACAGAGAAAACTAACGGCCTAATTTATTACAAAACAATTTACGAGAAACAAAGTATGATAGACATGAACCAACGAATACAACTGAACTACAGGCTCCTGATTTGGGACAGTCACATATAGAATGTGGCGGGGTTAAACTAGTTTGCCGGAGCCAAACTCTCCCCCTAACCTGGGACAGTGGTGTAACAGTATAACGTAAGAACAAACTATAATAAAGAGCTGTACCATAAGCGCATGATACGCCCGTGACTTTTTAAACGATAAAAATTTCCATAACCTCTCACTGTGAAATCAAAAATTTATCTAAAAACTAAAGGGATATTATTTTAATGGATATAAACCAGTCACCAAAGTTTTATTAAAACTGCTCAAAGCATGTTTGAGTAAAGTTATT